CCAGCCAGCCTGGCTGGGGAATTCTGGGAGTTGAAGTCCACATATCTTAAAGTCGCCAAGGTTGAGAAACATTCCTTGGTTGGAAGGATAAAAGAGCAACTCACAAGCGTCACTGGATCCTGTCCCATTGTAAGGGGGAGCAGGGCCTGTGGGTGAATCCTGTCCTTCAGCTTCTCCCTCAGACAGGACCGGAGATGGTTGAACTCGTTCCTTGCCTCCACCATGACTCCCTCGGTTCTCTTTTTCCTCCAAATGCTGGATCCACGGCAGCCACGGCTCTCGTTGGGACCCCACGCGGGAGATTAAATTGGGGGTGGACGTTAAATATTCTGGCGAGGAGGGAAAACAGAGAATGAAAAATACAGCAAGAAGAGAAGCACGTCACCAAAAAAAAAAAATTGCAAGAAAACGGTGCGACGGTAGAACGCTGCTGCTCAGATTTCCAGCGAGTCAGACGGCCAGGCCCTTCCCTGAAATACTCCATTTCTTCCCTCACCTCAGCTTTCCAGTCTCCTTCACCGTTTTACTACTCTGTCCTCACAAAGCACTCACAAATCTTACTCAGGGGCTTGGCAAGGGAGTATTCCTCCATGATTCCACTGCTCATGCCCAGTCATTGGAAAATGAATTTATTATTTGTGCAGGTTTATCCTCACCCATCTGATATCCTCCAGATGTTTTGGACCTATAATGAATCGGCATCTTGGACATCAAAGTTCACACACTGGGCAGGGACCAAAGTGGAGGAAGCTGGTGTAGATGAAAATTAAACCCTTGAATCCTTATAATTTGGTTTCACCTAAGAGTCTTTGGTTAATGCTTTATCAAGATTTTCCCAAGAAGCCAGAACATGGGTAAGACTCATACTGTTGCGCAGAGTGCAGCAATACTCCCAGGAAAGTGCCAAAAATACACACCAGTATGAGAGATTTACAAAATGCAATGCCCATATCTTGTTCTCCAAAGAAATCCAGCCAGAAAGTATAAAATATCTGGTTGTTTATTGATAAAAACGCAAAACTCCATAAAATACAAGTTTCATACAAAAGCAGCAATACTCCCAGGAAAGTGCCAAAAATACACACCAGTATGAGAGATTTACAAAATGCAATGCCCATATCTTGTTCTCCAAAGAAATCCAGCCAGAAAGTATAAAATATCTGGTTGTTTATTGATAAAAACGCAAAACTCCATAAAATACAAGTTTCATACAAAATATAGGAAAAAAACACTTCTTCTCATGTATTTAGCATCCAAGACTTAACAACTACACAGGTATAACAAAGTCTCTAGCTATGACTACATGGTGGCTAAAACTCTACTGAGAGGCTGGGCATATAATCCTCCCGTTTTATTGCCATCCCTTGATTAATACATACTTAATAATTAATTAATTAATTAATAATTAATACATAATTAATAATTAATACATATGCCAATAGGTGGCAGTAAATAGCAGTATACGTGCACAATTACAATAACAATTTCCACATGACTTGCTCAGCCATAACAAATCCATTTTGAAGATAACGAGCGGCACTTCTTCCCATGAGAAAATCCTAACACATATATGGCTTTTTTGAAACTAATGTTCAAGTAAACAGTGGTAAAGAACAAGCACAGAAGGACGTAAGTTTCTTCTCTAGCTCCTAGAGCACTGCTGCCCGATCAGAAGTACAAGCTGGGTGGCTCTGGAGGACCACTAGATCACAGTGAAGAGGCACAGAACAATCTAATGCAGTGTTTCTCAACCTTGGCCACTTGAAGATGTGTGGACTTTAACTCCCAGAATTCCCCAGGCGGGGCGGGGGGGG